CTGAAGGGATGGATCCACCGCCCTAAAGAACTTTTTGATGGACACTTTTTTATTTTTAAGAGTGGTGATTTGAATTTGGATTGTATGGATCAGCTTATTTTAATTTTCTTTCTTTAGCTGAAAATAGTCCCTGAAAATGTGCTTTACTTACTACTCCATAACTTAATGTGACAGATTTCCACTCAGTTTAAAGGGAACTGTGACCCTATTAAGTCTAAGAAAGACTGAGAACATTCAAACAGTCAAATAATAAAGAAAGTTTTCTAACAAACCTTGAAGAGCTTGAGTGGTAGCCTTTCTTAAGGTTGCAAACAATTAAGCTGTGAAGAAGCAAAGAAATAAGAAAAAAATCTGAAATCATTAAACTCTAACTGAGACCACCCTTCATTTATATATTTTACAGTCAAAACAGCCATTAAATACAAATTATTTATTTTCCAGAATGAGAAAAAGTTTTCTTTTATTACAAATTTTCCAAAGTTTAGTCTTAGAAGCTGGTTGCATTTTCTGCTTCTTACAGTCCAAGTAATCCTAAACATATCCAAAAATGTTGAGGTCTGGACTCTGGGATGGTCAGTCCATTGTTCTGAGAACACCAGCAGCTTATTTGATTGATATATATATAACTTGTACTTTATGCTATTTTGACTGAACATTAAATAAATGAGGGGTGGTCTCTGACTTTTGTACACTACTTTAATATTCAATTTCTTCCTGTCAGTAAACTTAAGAATGGACATCTACTCATAAAGCAATAAAAGGTCTCAGGATCCCAAAGAGTTTTTCAACAGAGTCCTCATTCTAAAGATGGCTCAGCTATTTCAATTGGCCTCACCTTATTACTTAAGTAAGACAAGCTTTATTCATTTATGAGCACCAGCGCATTTGAACGATTTTCAAAAGCTTGGCTGTTTTATGTTTTTTTGTGCATCTTAATGAATAATTCATGGTCAGCCTTATTGTGTAGTTCATTCATTTTGTAATTCCATTTTATTTCAGGTAACTTCAGAATTTTATACACTGACATGTCAGGCTTTTCATCAGTAACCGTGCCAGCAGACTACTCAAGCCTTGGCAGCCTGCATTACATGGGAATAAATAAATTGTTCAGCTTCGACTCGAGGCTCTTTAATTTTCCTAATGACTGAAGTCTTTTCCTACATCTGACCTTGTATGACTCCCATGCAAAAGGGTTCTTCTTCACAGCAGTGCAAACAAAAACAGAGGCCCTTTAAAGCCTTTTGCTACCAGGCCCACTGGATGCAAACTGAAGCTAACTGGAAATGACTAGTAGCCCCCTTTTCTTTCACTTTACAAGCTCTGTTAATAGAAAATGAGGAGTTCTTACTGCACATATTTGGAACATTATATCAATGTGTAGAGATTTAACATTTTAGACATGTTGATGAATGTTAATTAAGCTATTGAACATTCCATTCATTTACATTATTGTGAACACAGATAGCATATCTAAGATAAAGAAGACTGCACTATATGCTCACTATATTTTGGCTTGTATGTTATTAAGGGTAATTGCAATATTACCATCAGAATAAATGAGAGTGATTCAGGCCAAAGTTGTAAACAATGTTTTATTTTGGAAGGGAAGCATCTTTCAGCTTTAAAAAATAGCTATTTATTAGGCTGTTTCACATTTTATTGACAGTACTTACACTTTAACCTGGCTCAGCTCTAAGGCACTGATGAAGTTCAGCACCTTGGACAGCTCTCACTGTACCTGGGCAGAGCTGCATACCTAATGTTTATTTCAGTAATGAACAGTTAAGTTCAACAAGCCCTGTTTTCTACACTGCACTTAGCTCGTAACTATTTTTCTCCAGTAATGCCAACTTCTAAAGTGATCTGTGACTGCACCTCTTCTCAAACACCTCCTCATTCATTTTACCACAAATGTGTAATTGGCACTTAGCGAGAAACACATAGCCAGTACTAAAAGAAGAATACTTTTTCAGGGAGTCGAGTACTATATGAATAGTATGCAAAAACATAATTGTCATTATATTTAACAGATTTTTCTGTTACAACTGCAGTTGTACACCAGTCTCCTAACCTCTTAAATGGCCAAAAATGTTATTTTGTATTTCTATAACCTAAGAATAGCTTAGCTAGTTTGCATTGAGGTCCCTGTCATTACCCCAAAGACATATTTGGTCTCTCAAGTATGGTTCTTTAGTTTTTCACTGGAGCTGAGGCTAATAGAGAAGATTTTGGGTGATGTAGATTTCCATTACTTTGTAGCTACATTGGCTTTATAGCTCCAGTGCAAGACAAGACAAACAAACTTCAGACGCCAACTGAACTGTGTTTGATTTTTCAGGTAATCATTTGTTTAATAATTAGTAATCAAGTCCAGTTTGTTCCTTTTCTGAACCCTGTTTGTGTTCAAGCAGTAGCTAGATATGATACATTATTGCTTGTTAACATAAAAGGTAACACAAAACTTAGGTTATGATGCAATGTATCTTACATACGTATGGAATAGTACCAGGTATAGTAAAAGTGGTTTTCAGATATCTTGGGTATTTGCACATCGCTGCTGCCCTCTTGAGTCTGACACTAAGGGCAATTCTTCGTCCGCTGGGAGTCCTCAGGGTGAGATGACAGTTGGCGTCATGCTAAAATGTCAGACTGAGCTCTTACTCTTTGTCTCCTTTGGTTCTGAGAGCCTGTCTCATTAGAAGTGCTTTTATTTATAGCAGCTGTTATACGAGACTGGCAAACATAGAGTCAGGACCAAATTTCCTGTAGCAGTGCATTGCAAATCAAATTTGATCATTAAAATTACAAAAGGTTCCACTCACAAAAAGTTGATAACAAAGGAAAGATACTTGCGCACACTAGTGAACATTGACAATGATGGAAATGGACAATGCTCTAATTTAATGGTGGGCAGTATGACAAAAATACAGCATCACAACACTTGAAACCATTTTCATGACACATGGTGTGCATCATAATATTTCATTTTTCTGGGGTTTAATAAGTTAGAGCAGACACAATACAACAGCAAAACAATAATGCTACATTTTAAAATGAAATCATGTGAATTCATATTAGCAATTTCTCAATAATATAGTAAAACCTTAGATACCTTTTTTAACAAAGTATGCTGTTGGGCAGTTTTTTAGGTAGGCTACTGATGATACATGCAACTCTTTATTATGCTGTTATTTATCCTGAAATCGGTATCAGACCATTGTATTGCACCTCTACTTTTATGATTGAAGAAAAAACTGGATATCAGTGTTCAAAACATAAAATTGCAAATTGATGCAAAGATGCTTTGTGCAGTCAGGGTCAGGGTTTAGTTACACCATTGATTATGTCACCTTTGGTAGAAAGCATTGTGTCATTTGCCCATTCTCCTGACCACTGTGAAAGCTATTACCATTGGATTATGAAATACACCATATTAAGAAGTCATAAGAGATGCTACAGTGAGCAGCACTTAGAAGATATCTTGAATTTCCTAAAAAGAAAAAATGTCCTGATTTAGTGCATTATCTGTATGGATTCAGTCTTTCATCAACACTTTTTAGTGTTAAGTCTTGCACTTCGCTACTTAAAGGGGTTTGTCCTTGGCCTTTGCATTTGTCCTTGTGTCATGCAGACATTATATAAATCTATGAAAAACAAGATCATGGCAATATATCAGCTCTAACATGTAAGAACATTCTGTCACTTCAGACATATAAGGACGCTCACGATCTACAAGGATTCATGACGGTGCATTCTCCGTGCCCTGAATTCTACCAAGCCAAATTGGGACATTAATCTCAGCCTGACTTTTTCCTACTCTCTCGCTGATTCATCAGTTAAATGGGAACTTACCAGGCCTCCTGCCCAAGCCATCCTCGGCATTAGCAGGCAACACAGTGCTGAAATTCTGAACTCCTATATCGGGTTATGACTGAATTTGGATTGCAGCCAATAATGGTTTTTGTCTAATTACACAAAAGGGGCAAATTTTGTGCTTTCCATTTAATAAAACGTCTGGTGGTTAATTTAGACCAAATAAAAAATGTGCCTGTAAAACTTTCGACAGAGGATGTCTGACTGAAACCTCTGATGTGGCTGATTATTAATTAACAAAGTCTTGAATGGAAATTCTGTCAATTTTTTTTCAAAATTCTGCACAATTCAATCTTTAAGATGTAAACAGTCATTCAGAGTGGTTTGATGTGAAATGCTCTGATGTGGAGAAACTTACTGGGTCAAAAATGTTCACAATGTATTTTTTAAAACACTTACGGACAGAGAGGTACCTGCAGAGTGGTGTGAGACAAAAGAGTTCCCACAAAATACTTATTTTCAGAATCAGAATCAATATAAATCAGAATTAGTAACATTTATTGGCCAAGTATGTTGACACACACAAGGAATTTGGTTTTGGCCGTTGGAATCTCTCTAGTATTAAATGCAATGCAAGACAATGTACAAATAATTTACAGACAATACATAATACACTATATACAAGCAACATACAGATTACATAGAGACAAGCAATACACATAAGTGTGTGTGGTAGTGCAAACAACAGTAATCTACATCATGTATGGTAATGAAATTGTGGTGCACAAAGGTGCGAGTCTAACACAATGCACATTGGTGCAGAGGGTCCAGCAGATGTCCTGTGACATCCTTCAGGTGGGCCAATACTAGTTGTTTAAAGGACCTAATCACCACAGACATCAGAGAGACTGGCCTGTAGTCACTGAGTCCTGTGAAGGAGGGTTTGTTGGGGACGATGGTGAAGCATTTGAAGTAGAAGGAGACACAGCTCCAGGAATCTGTTGAAAATGTGCATAAAAATTGGACCGTAAAGATTTGTTTTCATATTTATGGCTATTTTACCATTTTCAACATTAAGTTTGTTGTATCATGTAGAAGAAGACACAGTAAACATTGTGCATGGGTAAATGCACTTTTATTTTGAACAAGCACTTCAACAAAGGAAGAAATGCCCAGCTCTGTGTTACCCCAACTCGACCTATGGGGAGGGAGTAACACAGGAGGACACGACATACAAGGAGGGTAAACAAACTCAACACACTGTAACCCACCTTCCCCGGTCGCAACTACGCTAATGACATCATACACTCATACATCATAACAGCAGTAGCAGTAACTATAATTTCTTACCGGGTGCATGGTGCCTACCAAAAGCCCTTTGCATGGCCACACAAGCTCCTCACAGCAGTGCAGCCTGTGGCGGACACCACAGTCTAAAAACTCAGAAGACATTAGGTTCACTGGTGGTTTTGGATAGTAAATGAAATGGCAAATGTTCCATGCTCTGACTCACTATGGGATTATTACATTTGCAATAAAACAAGATGATTCACGACAGTGTGCACTCTGAACGCTCACTTTGCAGAAAGTGTGCTGATATGGATGAAGTCAGACGGTCTCTCTAGATTAAAAATGGATTATACAAGCTCTGGTCAAACTGACCAGTAATCTGCGGAGCTTTTAGGAAACAGATGGTTATCCAGTGGGTGGGGTTCTCTCCAAACATGGAGACAGATATAGGGCACGTCTATATTTCATCTGAATATCTCCAAAACAGTGACCCTTTACACGGTAATGATCTCTTACGACGAAGACTCCATTTCCCATGGTTCCATTTCAAAATCTCTTTCTGCTTAACTCGTGCTAGAGTGATCTAAATCTGCTGAAGCGCTGCCTGCTGTGTTTTTCCCACCTGTTTTCGGACAAACCCCACCCCCGTCCATAAGGACTGGCTAGTACGCTCTAAACTCCTGCGTTACGATTAGCTAGTAGTTTATATTCCTTTCAGTCCGCCCAGAGACAGCCAATCATAGCAAACGGGGGCGGGACTTGTTGTAAAACGGGTGGAAAAGAAACAAAGCAGAGAGTGAGGCAAGCGAAGCTTAATGATACGACGAGGGAGAGCCAGGATGCTAACACACTCAGCCACGAAGAAGGTATCTTATTTACATAGCAAGTATTACATTTCTTTGACCGAAACGCATCCTTCTACCATGTGTATCTGACCAGGATATTGACGAACCAATCTATTGAACGTTTGCGTGTTCTCTCTCTCTCTCTCTCTCTCTCTCTCTCTCTCATAGCCTGCAGCATTCTTTAAATCTAATGATGATCATAGATAGACGCATGCAAACCATCTCTGCGAAGTGCTGTTATAAACAGCTGATTGATGTAATCTTAGCCAGTCGGTCGGTGGCTATTTGAGACACTGCTTTAGAGGTTTTTATTACCTGAGCATTTTTAATCCTCATATTATTATGCAGGAGTGTAGCCCAGTTCACTACGTTCAGTTTAGACATGCGGTTTAGAGAGTCTTAAAGCTTATCCAGGGGTTTATATGGATTGCTTTGCTAATTGGATACTGATTGAGGAGGCTAATCGGTCACTTTAATCGCCTTTCATCGCAGGGTGACGGATTTTTTTCGATTAACTTTCGCCAACGCATGGCAGGTTCAAGCATAAGCAGAGCTAGTGTGCTCTTGTAAACTTCAAGAATGAATTACAGTTTTATTGGGGGGGAGGTGGGGGGAGGGTGGCATGAGCTAACTGCTACGTGTGACATCAGTGTGTGCGTTGGCAGGTTTGACGTGGCTGTCTTGATGCGGTGGCAAATTGAAGCGATCTGGTGGAGAGAGTCTGATGGCCTCAGTGGAGCTGCTGTGTCTAGATAAAGAAAGGCGAGGTGGTCCAGACTGGGCTTCCAGTGCTGTGCACGTTCACCGGTCCCAAAGTGCAGGTGACGAAAGTCCACTCGAGCAGCATGGATGCAGTCCAAAAAGCAAGGCTGCTGTGTCAGAGCGCCGGTGTAATTCAGCCCCAAGGACAGCTCCCGTCAAGGGACTGCCTGGTAAGCACTGTCATCTACCGGCGGAGAAGGTCAGAGTGTGCTGTGACCAGGAGCTGGAAACCTCTTTCACTTACGTCGACGAAAATGTCAACCTGCGACTGGCCACCCCTGACAAGAGTGATGGCACACCCTGCCTGGGTTCCTCGAACGAGATCCATCTGGATGGACTCCATGAGCTCTCCTTGATGTCTGACCTGGCGTCCGAGAGTGTGGGAAGGCCGGTGGATTATGGCTTCATCAGCGCCGTCACGTTCCTGGTGGCCGGGATCATTCTGGTGATCATCTCCTACGCCGTGCCACGTGAAGTAAACGTGAACCCAGACAGCGTTTCGGCGCGAGAGATGGAAAGACTGGAGAGGGAAAGCGCCAGGGTAGGGGCGCACCTGGACAGGTGTGTTATCGCTGGCCTTTGCCTGCTCACTTTGGGCGGAGTGGTGCTCTCCACTCTGCTCATGGTGTCAATGTGGAAGGGGGAGATGTACAGGAGAAAGGCCTTCGCATACTCCAAGCACTCTACAAAATTGTACGGCTCCATTAATCTTAGATCGAAGTCGAGCCCCGGTCGGTCGCCGTCACACAGCGTTGTTGAGGAAGAGAATGGCGAAAGCATTAGCTGACTATTATTTCTGTCTCTAAGCATTTATCCCAACCAGTTCATCAAAACACAGACTTAACAACAGATCTGTAAGGGTTGTATTTCCATCACACTTTTAAAGTCTTATAATGTAGTTTTTGACTTTAAACATTTTTAAACACGTCTGTCAGTGTCATTTGCTTATGGAATATCACTCAAATATGCAATATCATGTTGTCACTTTAATATTAACCAAGAGAATCATTTCCCCTTCTTTCCTTGCAAATTTTAACTAACCTGTCTTTTCTGGGGGTCAGGGTAAGTTGGGGTTTTAAGGCTGCCCATAAGATCTGACAGTGGTTCAAACTAAACTCTGCCCACAATGGCTCCTTTCAAATAAGTGAATATTGGCTCAGCAGTTGACATGTCGATCTTATCTGCTGCTGTCCTGACAATCTTTCCCAACTCCTTATTCCTTTGTTCATTTTAAAGTGACATTTTAGCCTTAAAATCATCTTTTCACATCTTTGTCCAAAATGAGGGCTAGGTTTAGTGGTCTCAAGTAGTGACCCAGGCCCTAGATCTAGAGGAGCACCTCACTCCAAGTATCGTAAGACCTACTTGGAAATTTATGACCATAGAGTCTGCTGCTGGGTGTCTTTTCTTGATCTAAACATTATATGCAAACACTGGATTTTGTAGCAAACATGATTCATGCAAAAATTTATACAGCTTGCCTAAAGAGCGTTCATTAATATTTCATGGAAATGGACAGCTGCTAAATGTGTTGGTTGTTTTGAGGGTTTTTTGTTCCATTAATTTGAGTATGTCTTCTCAAATGATTACCACATGATATGTCATGTAAATCACAGTGTAGTCTGCAAAAGCGAGTCACATAAGCATTATGCTGCATGCACTTCATTAATGAATATTATCTTCACTTATGTTACATTAAAATCACACAACTGAAAAACGAATGTAAACATTAATGTATATCAACCTGCATTTTCTTTACCATAATCAGTGAACCTGGTGTAATGTCTGTAATATAAAAGATGACTAAAACATGTTTTGTCAATGCTTCATTTCTTGCCATAAAAATATACATAAAAATAAGTTAATACATCGTCTACAGAGGAAACACCTCTGCACATTTCAATGCAGTTAATGTTCATTTGCTAAATTTAACATATTGGGAAAAAAATAGGCCTGTGCAAATGTTTTTGCACATTTATATGTAAAGTTTTTATTTTTTCTAAATATTATAAACTCAGTAAATTGAGAATTTGAGACTAATGGTTGTTTCCATAAGCAGTACTGATATGAGGGGTGCTAAGCAGTTATCTGGCCGCTAACTTTCTGTCATACACTGCTGCTTCTAACAGTCCTATCTATTTTAGCCATTGTATCAGTCCTGGCCTTTGTTAAGACTGTAATATAAGAAACAGCAGAATATAGAAAACAAGTCATAAACTGTACATGAAAATCTACTGAATGCTTATACTACTAAATATTAAACATATGCTTAGCAAGTTTCCAATTTACTTTCATTCTCATGTGGATAAAATGTATCTGAATCAGGCTTTTGTTCTTGGCACATACTTGTTGCAACAAATGAATATAAATAATTAATGTCTAATTATGATCACTTCTAAATCCTGTCTACTAGGTTGCTGTGATTAACATAATGAAAATGATAATAACTAATGTGAATGAAAAGCCAAATCACTTCCTTAGAATTCCTCACTTCTCTACTGCATAATGCTTGAAACATACTTGCTAACACCTTATCAGCCACTGCTAAAGCTGAAGTGTTTGCAGTAGAAGGTCAGCTATGTAGCCTGTCCAGGGCTGTAGGGGTGCAGACAGCACCGTTGACCTCCCGAGTAAGGACACAGATGAGCTTTTGACTGTGTATGGCACACTTGCACTGACCTCATGCTAACTTCCATCCAGCATCAGCCGCTCTATGAAAACACAATCGACTGAATTTATTTCATAATTTTAAAGACACAATAGTAAACCATAGCCATGTGAAAAAGAAACCATCAAAGATTACACAAAAAACCTAAAACACCATTATTTTCACTATAATTTTCTCCTTGACTATTTACCTTTGTCTTATATTACAAACTGGCTTGTGTAGTATAATTATATAATTTTACTGTACTTTAGATTGCACTATAAGGCAAAAATAAAACAATTTACATTGTGTTTAGTAGCACATGCTTTTCTACAGGGAGATGTTTACAGTAACCCGGATTCACCTCATGAGTCGCTCGCTTTGCAATGACAAGTGATGCAAATGTTTTCTTTTTTTTAATGCCATTGTGATAGCTATTGTTCATTTGTGTATTTCAAGCTTTTATGCTGAAGCACTTATTATCCAGTGCAAACATAATGGACTTTTTTGTGTGGGAAGCTGTGTAGTCACTTCCAGGCTAACCGAGAGATCAGCACAAGAAAATCTGTAGCTGATGTTAAGCTTTATGAGCGAAGACTCCCGAGGCTTTGCTCCCTTACCTGATTTATGCCTGAACACTAAAGTATGCTTACTAGCCCGTGGAAAGTTTCCAGACATATTGATTCATCAGGAGAGCAATGCGCAGGCATAGTTTGAGGGTCCTGACCTCAGCCTGGCCTGCGTTTGCTGCATTTACGTCAGGGTATTTTTAGCAAGCATGCCCCGTGGACATTTGGATGGCCTACCAGAGCTTATTTACGTTAGTGCCAGTGTCTTCTTGTAATGTAAATTAAATCCTCGAAGCTCTTTCTCCAAAGTGGATCTATGCAAGGCTGCATTTTACATTAGCACCCAGCTGCCTGCAGTTTCACAATTACTGTTCCACTCTATTACCTTGGAGCATTTGTCATCATAAAGTGAAACACAGGTATTTTAAATAGGCCCGTATGGATTTCGACTACACGGTCCTACTTTTTTCTGGTTTAAGGCTTCCTGTAGAAGTTGGAAGAAGGTTGGAAATCAGCTTAATGTCCTCCAGTCCAAAGTTCAATCATTATAAAATATACATGAGCACTTAGGTAACTTCTACCAAAGATGTTATAGTTGTAAAGTATTACACAGTATAAATGGCCAAAGTGTAAGTCACCTTTAGAGAAAAACAGCACCATAAAGTGTAGAGTTTACCTTTAATTTCTTAAAATCCACATCTGTGCCAATGCGGGAGATATATTACACTTAGTCATAATAGACATACCATACCACCATGCAAGTCTGAGGCAAGCTGTCCATGTTTTAAACAGGTGTCGGAGGACTCCATCCAGAAACATGCCATGGAAGAAATCAAGCGATGGTGCTGACATACGGTAATAACATTAAATAATCATTTAGCTGTGGGGTTTCTCTCTGATGTCTCAGCTGAACGAAAGCTTTCAGTCTTTTGCCGCTTACCTCACTGCACTGAATAGGCTTCTTTGTACAGCTCCAGGCCTCAGTGCTGAAGCTGGCACATGCCTCCATTTCTGGGCTGATTAGATTAGCCCATAAGGAAGACATGGCAGTTAGCAGGCATTCAAGCGAGGACAGCTCACAGCTGTGACACAAGAAGCATTAAACCAATGAAGTCCATTTTAACGAAAAGATTTATGATTACTGCTTACTCTTTGCACAAGCTTCTACAACTGTTGTACACATGGCTTCTAACAGTGTAACGATTCACAAAATTCATATTTCAAGTGGATATGATACAGCGGTGTCTCAATTCCATACATTTTTAGAAAACCAGTAGTAGCTGAAAATATGGCTTTAGAGCATCCAACATTATACAGGTACAGTATATGAAACAAAAGCTGTATAGTGTCCTGAACTAATGCTTTAACCACAAGCTAATAAGTTTGCCCCAAGCTACATGCATTGTATGCTCACGATACAGCACTATTAAATCCTGCATCCTAAGTATGCATAAGTAGGTTTCAGGTTATGTGATTACACCAAAATCCCTCACGTTCCCTTGACCAATGAAATAAAATGTACTGCAAATATTCATTGAGGCTTTTGCATAGTACAATAATGAGCCTACAAAGAAGCTACTGCACCAGAATCTGAAGAGTCCAGTTAATCCCAGATAGCAAGCATATATATCAGTCCACTGGCTTGAAAAGGGCAGCACCCCACATTGTATGCCACTGCTGGTCCATCCCCAGACCCCCCTGATTACTGTCCTGCATACAAGATCTAACTAGTTTTTAATCTCCTCAAACTGATTTTAAACGCACAAGTACTAGAAACAACTGAGTGAAAAAAAAAAACAAAACTAGGCCTATTCTTGAATGATTTTGCTGATAATGCCGTGGACATGATGCTATATTATTTACTAAACTAATTGACAAAGGATAAAAGAAAGAAAGAAATGAAAATGAGCCATGTGGCATTTTGCCTAATTCTCTGCCTAACCCCCAGAGGGCCACCTGGAAACTGCTCCACTATCCTTTTGCTATCTGGTACCTCTTCTTTTCAAAAACAAACAAATATGAAACAAACACTAAACTGACAAACAGGTTTTTGACTACCTAATGAATTATATCATGTGTATTGAGCAGGGACTTCACTAAACTGAGGTTGGCAGTCGCAACTGGATTTTGCCAGTGCTGCCTTAGATTCTTCAGAATAAAAGCTCCTTCAAATACTAGCAACAGCACTGTAGGGCCCTCCTGGAATCTTAATTAATGCTGAGTTTATTAATTGTTTGTAATTGTTGTAATTCCCATTAATACCACATGGCGGCAGCATCAGATCTAAAATGTGGAGGAGTTGCATGACGATGGACTTGCATGTGAATTTCACGGCACAGTTCAGGCAAATTCTGTACTCTGTTTTTAAAGTGTTTGAGAGTGTAAGGAGGTGAGGTCTGTGGAAGGCTTGCTTTGACTATACATGAATAAAGAATGTTATTCAATATTCTCTGCCCTAAAGTGGTCGAAACAAACATTCCCCATCAAAATAACAAATAATTATATCAATAAATAAAATAACTCAAGTTAGATTGTTTTTGTATATTGTTCTTTCCCTCTCATAGATTCTAAGGCAAAATGGATGTTGGCATAGTACAAATGCATTGACCTCTCATGTCAGATAAGTGCACAGGCTTTATTTAGGATCACTTGTATTGGTCA